ATATTGAATCTACGAATGCTCCTGCTAAATGTTTACGTGTTGATAGAATTCACTGATTTTGTATGTCAGATCAGAACTACTAAGGACTCCAATGTGAAGGACGAGAATGCACAGGTGGAGCTGAGATATATGCCTTGCGAGCCTCACGACACACGGATGATATGGACTAGGGTAGTCCTCCTGTAGAAGGCTAGGAAGAGATTTGTATCTCATCTCATTGTTATCAGACACATGCTGGTACTAGAGTGTATAATAAGAGGTATAATCGGTGTCTTGATCGCGGGAATAAGCCCTTCGGTCGGGCCCAGCTGGTGGTGTATGGCTGCGATGAGCATCAGAGTAACGGCAATCAGCGTTGGTATTGGGACGGGGGCCGCATTTACAGGTGACAAAGATTAGGAGTGAAGTCATATAGTTGTTTTTCATCAGTCCGAATCGTCCGATTTCATCGTTCCGAGCACAGGCTGTGAAAGTTGATGAGAATAGTAAGGAAACTCTGTGTATGCTGGGACCGCAAGCAGATGGAAAGCAGTTAGAGGTGCCTCCCGAACAGGAATCTAAGGGAGGTAGAGTGAAGAGTTGAAGCACTCTACTGATATGTGTTGTAGATGATCTTGTTAAGGAGGCGAACAAGTACCCGCTGGTTTACATAGAGCCGTGCCGGGCCAGGCCAGAAGCTGGTCAGCGGGTTTCAGCGGACCCTTTTGAGTTCGAGAGCATTTGAAGTGCAGTACTTGTTCATTTTTCCGAGGATATGTATTCAGCAAAGAAGGTTTCGGTAGATATGAAGTGAGTGATTGTTCAATTCGGTAGCAGTTGAAGAGTTAGAAGCGTCCCGACGGAGATTTGAACCCGGGTTCATTTTCGTGAGTAACTATATCCTTGCTTGTTTTCAATCTTCTACCGTTACTGACTGAATGCATTTCAAATAGTAGCATCACTATTATGTCCAGTTAGCAATATCTGTTCTTTCCTCCATTTTTGTCGATCAGCTTTAGTTCTAGTTGTTAATGCGTATGACTTTGCTGTAGTGACGTAGTTATGGTTAACATCGCTTTGTGATAAATGTGACATTTCGAGACTATGCTAGCGGCAAGTTTTTCACTTTCATTCTGTGATCAACGACATGTGGGGAATCGTGTGCTCACTCAGCAG